GGCGCTCGCCCTGGGCAGCAAACCTTGCGTCCCGCTTAGCCCTCACCCCCACGCTAACAGGTAACACGGTGACGATGCGAAGCCCTGGAGGTCTTAAAAGGGAGGAGAGAAACCCAGAAGCTGGATGTAGCACGCTTAAATACACACACACACATATATATGTACATACAGATACATGTGTGTGCCTGTGTATAAAAAAGATGCAAACCCATAATTTTTAATATAACCTTGACTCTGGAGTCAGGGGGTTTCAATTTTTAAACACCTTGCCTTAGCGGTACCCTGGTTCCTTGTAAAAAAGGTGTCTTAAACACATCCTTTGAGAAGCAGCTAATGCAGATACACCGAAGCACAGAGATGTGCGGTTTTTCCATAATTTGAGGTCCATTCTCTTTTTTTTGCAGTGCGAGCATTAGCTACAGCCTTAGCCCACGTTAAAGCCTCTCTTGCTATTCCCATTCCTGTCTTTTCTTTTGAGCGATGGACTTTTGATACTTCTACTTATTGGATTTAAATTCTCCAGACACAGTCTCTGCTTGGAAATTGCTTTGTTTTTCTTTTTGGTTTGAACCGTCAGCTCAGCTCTTTGTGAGCCCAGAGAGAATGGAAAATAGCTCTCGTGACCTGTTTTGGAAATGCCAAGCGCATCGACATGGCTCTGGCGAGAGTGCTAAAGCCTGGGGTGGGAATAACCTCACTGAGTTTTGGAGCATTCCTGGGAAAGCTGGGGTTTAATCAGGCCAGGCATGGCCCTTTCTTGCACACACGCGGGTTTCTGGAGCAGTGTGCTGTTTTTCCATCATGGCATGCTGTTCCCAGTCAGGGAGACCATGCTCATTATACGGGGAGCGTGCCGAACCATGTTCTGCAGTGAATTGAAAGGCTGCAGCAGAGAAATAATTTATGGCAAACAGAGAACATGGACATTATTTGGATGAATATACTCTCAGGCAGAGGGCCAAGACAATCATGGCACACATATGTCTTTATCTACTGTTTAAATGCAGCCCTGGCGTGCTTCAGGCACTGAATGCTCGACACGTTGCTGGCTGCTGCCCCGTGCTCCTGGCAGCCGGAGCTGTCCCCGCACTGCAGGATGGCACAGCCATCCCTCCCTGCCCCGGGACCCCCATGCTGCGTGGGCACAGCCTCCCATCGACTCCAATGAATGAAATCCTGCAGCAGGAGGAAGGCCGCGGTGGCACAAGACACTGGGGGTTATGCCCCCGCGTTGCTTCGCCTGGCAAGAAGCCACGGTCCCTGCCACAGCTCGGTACGAGGCTCCGCACCCTGGGTACAGCCCTGCCACCAGCCCTGCCAGCTGCCCTGGGGGAAGGAGGCAACCGAGCACTTTCATTCTGCGTGTGCAGATTGCCTGGCTGGTTTGCAGGACTGTAGCGCTGCAAGAGCAACCCTGGAGGAGCTGTGAATGCCTGCAGGTGCTGAAGGCAAGGCTGACGGTGCTGTGATCAGCGCTTAGCAAGGCCCCCGGGGCATAAGCCTCCAGTGCTCACAGGCTCCTTGCTGCCTGCCCTGCGCAGGCAGCAGCGTCACCACCTCTGTGGTAGGCTGTGAGATGCCCTTGTCCTACACCAGGAGCATGATGCCCTCCCTAGGCTGCCCTGCAGCCCCAGGCATGGGGCAAGAGGAGGAAGGAACTTACAGAAAGGAGTTGTTTTTGAAAGGCTGAAGTTGTCTCTCACAGAAGCTGTGAGGCAGAGTATGGGCAGCCAAAGCCCAGGGATGAACTCAAGGAAAAGGGGGAAAAAGGTGCAACTTGGGGACCTTAAAAGTAATAAGGATCCTGTCAAAGAGGCCTCTGTTTTATGGTGCTCTAATTCAATATATATTTTTTTCTTGTTTCCTAAGGAAAAACATTCATGCCATTTTGGGGGCAAGGGGCACATACCGATCAGTCACTCGAACACCTTTGGCTGATTTCGACTGAGTTTAGACACAGAGAGCAGAGGTCCCAAGGGTGTCAACTCTGGGGAATGAAGCAGCGAGACAGAGAGACCATGCCTACGCCCTCCCTGGGAGGAGGCTGTAGCTTGAGCCCAAACCTTCTTGGACTGCAGAGGACTTGCACCAGTGCTGCTCCCTGAGACCTGGCTTCCTCAGCCCCATCGTGTAGGCAATGCCTTGCTCTGTCTTTGCTGACTAAAGCAAACAACCATCGTTCCCACTGACCCGTCGCCAACACTGTTTCTCTGCCACCCACATTCCTGTTTTGCTTCCCCTGCAGCATTTCCCTCTCTCCTGCTCTAGGGCTCCTGTGACCTCCTTCACCTTCCTCCCCTGCTGCATCTCCCTTTCCACATACAGACCGAATTCCCTGTGTTCTCCTTGTGGCCTGTCACCTAATCCTTCCACATGCCTGTCACAGCCTCTGTACCTTTCAGGGCAGAAGCTGCCTTTGGAAGGTATTTACACCATATCCAGCCCCACGGTCTCATCAGGGTGGAATAGGGCTCATGGATGGAGGTGGGGAGGTACTATGAACACACCTGGAAGAATCCAACGACCGCCACCTCTGCACTGCTGATGAAGGCTTCAGCTTTCGTGATGTTGTTCAACAGGACAAGCTTCCCTGCAGTGCCGGCTGTGCCAGGAGAGGAGAGGTCAGGGTCAGACAGAGGGGTACACAAAGAGCAGCTCAAAGAGGGTCCCCCAATAAGCACACAAGCATCCCACTCCTTACATGCCCACTCACACACCTCTCCTGAAAGCTCAACATGCTTGCACAGCACACGCTGGGTAAGGAGACCCAGCGTAAGGAGGACTCCCAGCGGCAGACCCATCCTTTTCCCAGAGCTGGGAGGAAAGCTCACTTACTGTGGGATGCAGAGCCGCTGTCTCCAGCACACCCTGCTGGGGAGCCCCCAGTGAGCAGGATAACGAAGAGGCACAGGAAGACGGAGGTGCCCATGGTGCCAGCTTGCCCTCTCCTTGTCACGCCACCCTGCTCCAGCCCTCTCCTCAGCAAGAGACACGTCAGCTGCTGCAGGGGCCCACGGGCACTCCTGGGGCAGTGGGAAGGGAGCAGCTGGCCCAGGGTGATGCCTTCAGTTCCCGAGATAACCACCTGGCCGGGAGAGAGCCCCTGCCTCCTGTGCAGGCACCAGCTTTGGAGAGCCTCACTGACACTGCCACCAGCACGTCCTCACCTGCAGCACTGGACATCTTGGCTACCCTATACCTGTGTGACCAGGCGCCCCAGCTGGGTCAGACCATCCCTCCATGCAGAAGGAGCCACTGCACTTCTCCAAGTGCTGGGTCCCAGAGAGGCTGATGTTCCCTTGTGCTTGGCCAGTGGGGCAGCCACTGGGACACACAGCTCTTGCATTGGCTATGGGGAATGGCTGCCCTGGTAAGCAGCAAACATGAGGTTGCCACATTATGGCTCCCCAGGCTCATTCAGTTGTCACCCGGGATGAGAGGTGGGGGCTCTCTAACCCCATCACAAGCCAGACTTTGGGCTTCAAAAAAGGATTCACAAAGCCCCAGAAGGAAGCAGGTCTGAAGCAGTTTGCCTATAGTTAGGCTGATGTTCTGAAGGAAGAGGGCTATTTCCCTTCTGAAATATGCTCTTAAGCCTTCCTATAATGCATTCTCCACATCTACCTCACTTAAAAATACTTAGAGCCATACTCCTAAAAAGAATGTGACACGCATGCAGAAAAGAAGAAAGAAACTGGTTTTATTCTTAGGACACTGAAGTCTTGTTACAGCATCTAGCTGCATTCCCCCTGACTGGTTTTGCCTGCACAAGGATGGATTTTAATGGGGTAGGGCACCAGATACAGACCAGGAGACCATCACGGGAGGTAAGTAACCATTTACAATGAGTCAGAGCACATGGCAAGTGTAACTCAGATAGGGATTTTCCAGGGACCAGTCCGCCCTGCCAGGTGATCTTGTTTCCTAGAAAAGGCACTTCCGGGACCGGAGTTGGTACAGGAAAGATGGAGGCAGCAGGATGAAGTACTGGGAGAGAGGGAGGGAGATGCTTCCCAATTTAACCCATTTATGTGTCACGGTGGGGCAGTTGTGAGAACGGGTGGGTTATTTTCAGTGTATCAGAAGAAGCAGCAAAGGCTGCCTGCAGGCCTGTGCATCGACCGAGGCTGGCACAGAGCCCCAGCTCCCATGGGAAGGGCTGCCAGGGCTATGGCCGGCCACGGTGGCAGGAAGGAGCAGCATGGTGGGCATGGCCCACCTGGAGACTGGTGCAGGAGGCAAGGGGATGGGAAGGGGGAAGGCAAACTGGGTGAACTCATTCTGTCCATTCCTTCTTGATGGACAGGTTCCACTCCCAGGTGAGATGGTCATGCTTGTCATCATCCGTGAAGAAGGACTTGTTATGGTAGCTGCCTCGAGCCAGCATACCCTTAGGAGCCTCCTCAACAGGCGTCAGGAACTCGTACTCCTCTGGCCGTGGCCCGTAGCTGCCAACCATGAATGTGGCTTTGTCCACTAGGAGAAAACAATCCACAAGGGATGAGCCCCTCAGGTGGGGAATGATAAAGGAGAGAAGAAGCCACAAGCACGAGAAGACATCACAGTCAGAAAGGAGATAGCAGGGAGAGAAAGGGAGAGTCTGTGTCAGCAAGGGGAACAGAATCAGTGGAAAAAGTATGCTAGTGAAGCACAAGGACAGCTGGAAGGATAAATAGATGGATGGGCAATGCAATCTGTACCCTCTCGCATGCATGGGCTGCTAGAACGGAGTGGCTACACCCAGCATATGGCTCGAGATCTCTCTTGATTCCCCCCCCACTTCTCTTTCTGGCGAGAAGACACCACTTAGGGGTGCTGAACAGGACACTGGAGCCTTAGAGGTGGTTGCATGCAAAAATGCACATATAGGATGTGTGTGTGCACAATGGGACTTTCCTCTGCCTGGTCCAGGCAGGGCAGCACTGCACAAAGTGGAGAGGTCACAGGCAAACACCCATGGGCAATTCAGACAGTGGGAAGCTTTGTAGAGTAGCTCTGAATTTCACCAAGTGCATCTGGAAGAGCTTTCAGGGGGTGGGAAGCTCCACACAGGCTAAGCCAGTCTACAAGAGGCAGGGGAGAGGTGAAGAGCTCTGTATGGAGAGGAAGTCTGTGGCAAGCACTGTCTGAACAGTGTCTCTGGGGACTTTGCTGCTGCAGACAGTGGTATAGCATACAGATACCAGAGCTGGCTCGTACTGAGTTCACACAGGAACAGGAAACTGTTGGCCCGGGTGATGCAGAGCACAGGCTAATGCACTCTGCTGAGAAGACTCGCCTCCCACGTGGCAGTGCAGAGGGGGCCCTCAGGGCCAAGAGAGGTTCTGTCCTGGCCCAGAGCTGCAGGAACACTTCTTTGAGCAGAGGGAACATGGTGGTAGGAGCACTGGTGTGCAGGGCACAAAGGTCTCTTACTTACCCTTCACCCCTGTCCGGTAGGTATGCTGCACATATTTCAGTCCCGACACAATGTCCCTGTTTACCTGCAAGAAGTGATCAGAATTAAGTGTCAAGGGAAGGGTTTTGATTCTGTATATGCTGGTTTTCTCTCAGAGACATAACCATCTTGGCTCCCTACACTGCTGCTCTCAAAGGCGCAGCACAGGACACGTAGGGAGTCCTAACATGACATCTCCATGGGCACCTGGAGACCTACAGCAACCTCTGCGCATCTCCTGCACTTTCGCATCCTTTTCCCAACTTTGAAGCTGACTGGAGCACATCAATCAGCTTCGTGAGACGGGCCGATGAGTACAAAGAAAAGTGAAGCAGGGAGTTCCCAGTTAATAATTTCCACACTGAAAACCAGACATGGGTGACTAGAGTCATCCCTCCAGCACAAATGGGTGGGCAACATTAGCTGAGCACTCCCAGCTGCCCTCTAAGCTACATGGGGAGCTGGTGAGTTTCTCCTCAAGAGACAGAGGGGCACAGTTTTGTTCATAATCTTTCCTCAGATCTCCCATGGACAGCTTGGATGCACCCCTTGCTGTCCCCCTCCACCATATACCACCTCCCCACAGCACTACTCAATCTGGAAACAAGAGAGGCAGATCCTTTTACATCCCAGGGGAGAATTCACATGGTGCCAGCTCTTACCACCCTTGGGACTGAGGGAGGGAGTTAGAGTAACTTGTCTGGCTCCAAGCATCTCCTGTCAACAGGACTCAGATACAGATGTGAATATTTCATAACACAAAGCAGAGCTGGAGGTGTCTCTGGGGACAAAGTCATCTGAGATAGCAAGCAAGCCTCAAAGAAGGGAAATCTTTCCTACAGAACCTACAACATTAACACTTTCCCTCCTCCATTTCAGGAAAACTATCCTCCATCCCCTTTTTGCCTTCTCTGCCAAAGCCAGCTTTGTCTGCAGCAAACGCACGGAGATGATCACTTCAGTGCTGGATGCCACATTGCAGCGTGGCCAAGTTTCATTTCCAGCTGGAAACAGAAGAAATGGCTGACACACTGGTTAATAGGAGTGGGGGAGAAATGAGCCCGTTTGGGTATATCATGACCCAGAAGAACTCAGCTATCATCAGCCAAATGCTACAGTATTAAATCTTTTTTATGCATACATGAAGCCCAGCAACACAGACTGAACCAGTACTTCACAGAAAGCCATTATCTCTTCTTCTCTCTATCCATTCCCACTCTGTGTGAACTAAAGATTTTCTAGTGGCTGAAAAGCCAAGCCAAAGCCACCCATCTGGCTTCCGAGCCACCTGTTGTTCACCACTGTGAGCGGACAGAAAGCAACTTCTTCTAAGGGGTGAGCAAGTAGAAGCAATTCCCTGGAAAGATCTGGTCTCTTGTTGGGTAGAACAACACCTGAAGCCAGGGGAGCTTTACAAGGGCCCAGCTTTTGGGCAGGCATGCTGCCTGCTCTTGTTATCTGCTAGACTGCCAATGACTGGCCTCAGCAACTGAAGGAAAACAACTCACTCTGAAGTGGATCTTAACTCTGTATTCCACTCCTTCCTTTAATACGAAGGTCTCTTTCTTGAGTGCTTCAAGGTCACCTGTAAGGAGAGGATCAAGCTGTTAGCTAGAAGTGTCACAGCGAGGACAGATCGCACGTGGTGGGATGGGGCTGGGACTGGTGTCAGAGGTGAGCATCCCTTTGAAAGATGGAACACCTGCAAAGTGAGTATACGGAGGTCTGTACAAGCAATCGCGCTGTGAGAGCATGTACACAGAAACGCCAGGGCGTACGTATGTGTCCGCATCCACATCTATGAAGATAGTGACTAAACAAACTCAAGTCTGGGCACATATACACAAAGATATTTATGCACAGACTCATTGTTGGGCATCTGCAGGAGTGCGTGTGTACTTCATCCGTGCCCAGCCCCAGGCTGGGGTGAGTGAAGCATGTTTGGCAGCTCCTGCCCAGCTTGCAAAGCTGCCCAGGCTCTGCAGGGCTCTGTGTGGCTTTGGTAGAACAGGAAGCATCTCTACTTCTCCGGGCCCAGCTTCCTCTCTCTGCAGAAAAGCCCATATAAGGTGAAGCCTGGCTCTCTCCCCACGTCCCCAGGAGCCGGAACTGCAGCATTGCTCGATTCTGAAGTTTCAAAACAGCTCGTTACCCCAACACATGCACATCCCTTGTGCTCATGAGCTCTCAAAGGAAGTAAGAAGAGAAGGCAGGAGAAACCCAGGAGCTCCTAGACCGCTGACACTCTCCTCAGTTACATCTCCTTTTCTTTTTCATACGTGTATACCTTAAAATAAGAAACAAGGCTAAGATGCCCTCAGAGTTCCTTTAAAACCCACTGTAGCATCCCAAGGACAAACTCCCTTTTGATTTGAAGCATGCCAGGGCCTTTGCTTTTTCCCCTTTGTGCCCAAGGACAGAGTCTGTGCCTACCTGTAAGGTCCATAGTGATCGGTCCTGGAGCAGAGTCACATACCAGGGTGAGTCGGGTGACCACCACATTGGGAGCTGTTGGGTCTGCAGGTAGGAAAGTCAGGGGGAAGCTGTCAGCTTGCAAAATTAAACGCAGGGGGAGGGGAACAACACTAAAGATGCAGGGTTGCTTTCCCACCCAGAAACTGCACTTCATGAAACACCCAGTAACGCCAAGCTTCTCTTAGCACGACAGGACCATGCCTCTACCCCAGTCTTTCAACATGCATCCCTCCAGCCACCATCCCAATACCTAAAGGAGGCCTTTCCACTACAGAAGACTCCCCTCTTAACGTCATTCTGAGCAGCAAGGCCCCCTTTCAGCATAGGCTGGTCCCCTCATGTTTCTAACCCCTCAGCAGTCCTCCAAGGCCCTCACACCTCCCACCACAAGTCTCTTTCCGATGCCAGCAGTCCCTAGTGACCTTACACCTGATGCTCAGAGCATCTTCCCTGCTTCCTTTACATGCATCTCTCCACCTGCCCATCCCCAGTCCTCCAGCAGAAGCAGCGTATGTGCCTGGTCAAACAAGCTCCTACTTCTTTGAGGCCACCTTGCCCCGTCCCCACCGCATACCGTTGTCAGGCATCTCCCCAGTCCCTTCCTATCAGCATGCCCCAGCCTACCTACTACCACAGGTCCATCTCCCAGCAGGGACTTCTTGTACTTAGCGAGGCTTTCATCATCCTTATCCAACTCTTGCAGCTCCTGCAGTGTTTTCTGGGGAGGAGGCTTGTAGTTGAGTTTCCCATCCAGCTCATCATCATCTTCCTCCACATGAGGTTCTTGGGTCTTCTCAGTCATGGTCACTTGGTCTGGGTAACAGAGGAGGGGCAGTCAATGGGATTGCTCCGCAGGGGGATAGCGTCCCTGGGGGCACTCGGTCTGGGCACAGTGTGGTCCAGTCAAGCAGGCAGACACCCGCCCAGGAAGGAACGCAGCAGGATCATTACAGGCAAATGGCGACGGTGATCAGCTGCAATCCCGACACTGCCGTGCTGATATTCCGGCTCGAGCGCAATCCCCCTCTGCCCCCGCTCCTCTCCCTGCAGGCACCATGCGCACACGCAGACCTACACCATTCTTCCCTCCCGGGGAGGAGGTGCGGGAGCAGAGGCTGAAACTGGAGTGATTTACAGCCGCTCTGCAGCGCGGTTGCTGGCCGGCAACCCTGCAATTACAAGCCACCGTACAAGGTTTCAGCGCTCGCCAGCTATCTTGCACAAAGAGCCACTGCCACACACAGCCAAGAATAAAGCCAAGGCCAGAGGTTTCACCCACCCTCTCATAACAGGGTAAAAGCCACAGTCAGGCGGCACTGCATACAAAGATCGAATACCTGACAGCAACTCCCTTATATTAGCAAGTTGAAGCCCTCAAGGAAACGCACGCACTACAGTCTATCTGCTGGCGTTCCCGGTTCTTGCTCCCAGGAACAGGTCACTTCACACACCGATCCAGTCTCCTTCCCACTGAGGAAGGAAGCACGATGGTGACCACATCCAGCCTGGCTGCAGAGCAGCCCTGCTTACCTGCGCTGCACCAGTGGGGCTTCTCGGAGGGGAAGGACGGCTGGCACCCGCAGCCCCCCAGCCAGCACGGCTGGGACACGCGCCGCTGAACACAGGAGGGCAGCGAAGCTGCTTGGGTGGCATCCCAAATGGCAGCCAGAGCAAGACCAACTGATGGGGAGGCAGGTGGAGGGCAGGGAATGGGGACCAGGAGACAAAGGCAGGAGAGGTGAGCAGTGCTGCGCCAGGTCCCCCTCAGTGAGCCGCCTGCCTCGCGGAGCCTGCCGCATGGTCCCAGCCACCTTCCCGCTCTTCAGAGAAAGGCTGGAAAACTGCAGTGCCCTGGTGCAGTGGTGGCTGTCACAAAATGGCCAAGCCATTTCTTGCTGTTTGGCAGCAAGGGGATTTGGTCATGCTACACAGATCATTCAGTTTGCTTCAGCTTACCCTTATATTAACTCCTTCTCGGAGGCTGTTCCTGCTAAAAATTCCCTTTTCGCCTACTTATTTGCAGTTTCCTCAGTAAGCCCTTTACCCCTCTCTGTGGATGCAGCTTTCACATTTGCCCCTAAATGTTAAATTAGGAGCTAGAGGGATACTTTTCTCATTCATTAAAACAGAAAGGAATATATATATATATATGCGCAACAGTTCAGGGTGAATCAGCAAGTGGAATCAGGCAGCAATGAGTAATATGCAGACATTCCAGTGCAATTCCAGCGTGTGGGGGGAAAAAAAATATCAAGGAGGGGTATATTGGCATGTTACAAAGGGACAGAGAAGGACCAAGCAGCACAGGAACAAGAAGACTCAGACCGGCATGCTAATGGGAAATGGCCCTGATGCAAGACTGCTTTGCAATGGCATTTTGTGGTGAGTCAGGAACTAGTGCAGAGCAAGCAGCTGGGAAATAAAAGGGAATCCCAGCTCAAATGGACAGGAAAGAAAGCACGTCCCAGCAGCTGAATAACCTTGGTTGAGTTCGTGCCCAGTCCTAGGTGTGTGAAGGACCTACGTACCATAGGAAAGGCCCTTGAGCTTGTCCTCATGAGGAAGGAAACCAGAAGCTCCCTCATGAAAGCAACGATTGCTCATGCCCCGCTGCTCCGCAGCCCCAGCATAGTCACCTTACAAAGCCTCGCGATCCCCTTAGTGCCATCCCACACTGGATGGCACAGGAAGAGGAAAAGATGAGCAGTGGACGCAGACTACCCAAAGGTGGCGCTGCCCCAGCCACTGCCAGGTCTTGCCTTCCACTTGGGCTCCAGCTGCAGATCTGAGTCATTTCCACTCTCCCAAGCTCTCTCGTGATACTAGGCTGCATCTGCCACCGCTACAACCACAGAGCAGAGCTGCCTGCCTGCCCCCATCCTCCATGGGGGGGTTTGCGGTTTATCACAGGAGAGGGAGAGACCCAGGCGATGGAGAGAGAGATCTCTGGCCACATGCAGAAAAAAGGCAGAATCAGGGCTGGACCAGCTGGTTGTTCCTCATCCCTCAGACCTTCCCTTTGCATCTCTCATCCCACAGAGACATTCCCTGCCAGCCTGGCGCGGGGCGGGGGGGCTCACTTTAGGGGGGATGCTTTTGGGCTCTGAAAACCTCCCAGAGAGGTGGACAGGCAGCCTGCTGTGCCAACAGCAAGAGCCCGCAGGGAAGCAGTGCCAGCCAGGCTGCCTGGGCCGAACAACCCCTGCCTCACATGCATCTCAGGATGGCACCAATCCAACCCCATTCTGGCATTTCTCCCCAAGTTGTGGACCTGCCCCTGCCAGGCAGGAGATGACCAAGAGGAAAGCTCACATCTCAGCTGCCCCTGCCTCTATTCACTCCAGCTCTGGGACCAGTCCCCTCTGCAAGCTGAGATATGCTACTGGGCTGAGGCACCAGCGCTTCCTCAGGGTGAGCATGTCGGTACCCAGCTGCTGGGGTCCCTGGGCTCCTCCTATATCACTGCCCAGGCCAAGGGCTGGGCTAAGATGGAGACCCCGATGGCCTCAGGCCACGAGCCTCATTAAAAATGAGAAAATTAACCCCATAAATGCATCTACGCAAGGAGAAATTTGGGTGATTTGTGCCCTGCCCTGCCACATTTTTCTTCCTTCCCTGCAGCCCCAACCTGCAGCCATACATCACCCGCACCTCCGAGGCCTGGCAGCACCCACAAAGCAGCGGGGAGAGGGGCAGGGACAGCAGTGAGGACCCCCTGCCAGAGAGAGAGATGGCTGCAGGAGGCAAAGGAGGAATCATGCCCTGCCAAGGGGTAGCTGGGTCTCTCAGCGGGGCTCTGCCTGTGCTGGGGGTGGGTGGCTGCCCTCACACCTGCAGCAGGAGGGGGCAGGAGATGTGGCAGATGGTGGGCACCTCCTTACCACCCCCCC